TCCTCCGACACGGATCTGCCAGGTAAGCGCGGCTCCCCGCGGCGGGCACCCAGCCTAGGCGCGCACCCAGCACCCAGCGGCTTGGCGCTCGGCCGGGTCCCCTCTGCGCCTCGGCATGCAGGAGCTTTCTTTTTCCCGGTCTCGACCTGACGGTGAACGCGGAAATTTACACACGCTCTCGCACGCACACGCGAAGCCACTTCCAAGCAGTCCCCACACGCCAAGCCCAGGGCGGGACTGACAGCCCCTGTGGAACAGGCGCAAATAGCATGCGCAAGAAAAAAAAGAAAAGAAAAGTTGAGTTTTCCCTAACTGATCGCGGAGGAGCGGCTGGGGCGCAGGGCAAGCTGCAGATGGAGAATGGAGGGGAAGGCGAGACAAAGTGCCCAGAGAGACGCAGGCGGGTGGACACCTTGACAGACCAGGAGGTGCAGATGGAGGAGAGGATCCTAGAGGAGGGTTAGGTGCACAGAACAGGCTAGAAGACAGGAGTCGGTAAAACGGAGCTCCGGGGGACAGCGAGAGGGAGCGGCCAGGAGGCGCGGCCTGACTCGCGGAGGAACCCTGCTGGAGGGTCCCGGCCCACGTGGAGCCCTAGCTCAGAGCCACCGGGGGCCCAGCCAGAGCGGGTTCTAGACTGACTGCACAAACTTCACGATCTTTTTTTTTTTTTTTTTTTTTTTTTCCCAACCCAAGAGCTGAGCCCTCGATCGGGCGGCTTCGGCTGTGGCCGTTTCCAGGCCTGTCCGGTCTCATAGTGACTGCGAATCCTCCGGATCCCAACCCCGAGTGGCCGCCGAGCGCCCGGCTGCCCGCTGTCCCGCTGTCCTGGCCCAGGGAGCCCCTTCCACAGTGATTTAATCTGTTTGTTTCTGTTTTGCATCTCTAAGTGACTTTCCCCAGCCGGTCTGTTTGCTTGGTTAGAAAACAAAGCTTTGACTGTACTTTTGTTTTCACAAGTTTTAAGCGTGGGGTTTGTTTAAAAAAAAAAAGAACTATAGTTATAGATTTGTTTTTAAATGGGGGGGGGGGTAACTATTTTAACCGTATGTTTCCTTTGAGACAATTCACTAAGTCTATTTCTCTGGAATTTAAAATACGTTCATGCCGCATGATTCTTGGATAAAATTTTAAAAGTCAATCCAAAATGGCGCATTTCTCTGAGATTTTTTTTCCCCAAAACCCGTTTGTAGCAGTTTTATTTTGTGAATTTAAATAGTATGGCTATAACGTATTTCTTTGGGGTTCAAAAATCTGTACCAGGGTGTTATTGAGAAGGAGTCTAAAATTTATCTGTGTTGATACATGGATTTTTTTTTCCCCGAGAAATGCCTATGTGGTTATACACACTGGCTGTGCGTTAGTTTAGGACTGTGTTTGCACGGTTTAGGGGTGTGTTTGCATGCATGGTTTTGACTTCTTGGTTTACATTTGCCCTGGCTCTGCCTGCCCAGCTTTGAGGATTTGTGGACCTTTGTGTTTTTAGGTGGGGAATCTCTGAACTATTCTTGGCTTCTGTTTTGTTTTTTAATTCCGTTTCTTTGTATTTAAATGTTATTGACTGTGCGCATCTCCTGTAGCTCTAAAGAGACAGGGAGGCCCGGTCACTTACACAGAATCTGTCTATCTAGGCTGCAATTGGCGGGTTTTCTAGACCTTGCGACCCGAGGCTTGCCGCCGCCGTTGTGGCTCTGACACAGCCCTGGCAACAAGGTTTCAGGCTGCCACCAGGCTCTTACTGCTAGCTTCCGCTGGAAAGTTCTGGTACTAGTTCAGAAAAACGGAGGTGCTCCGGGCAGATTTACACCCGCAGGAGTCTCCAACCCCAGTGTGTTCTGCTGGTGACTGGAGCAGCAGGGCCGCAGCCAGCGCAGGCTGCAGGAAGCAGGCCCCGCCTAGCCCGGACCCCAGGCCCGGATGGGGCGTCTGGGCTCTTCTCGGTGGCACACCAGACCCTGAGGCGCCTACTAAGGACCGGCACGCGGCCCGCTCTATTCCAGTGGGGAACAGTTCCTAGGGCCCCTGGCCGGAGGGAGGGCAGCCCCCACTCCGCAGGCGCTTCGGTGGAGCCGGGACCGGGTGCAATAGTGTTAGCCCGAGGTGACTCGCGCCCTTCTACCTGCTGCAGACAAGGAGCGCGGCGGGGAAGCCAAGGGACCCGAGGACGGTGGCGCGGGCAGCGCAGGCTGCGGCGGAGCCGAGGACCCAGCCAAGAAGAAGAAACAGAGGCGGCAACGCACTCACTTCACAAGCCAGCAGTTGCAAGAGCTGGAGGCCACGTTCCAAAGAAACCGCTACCCGGACATGAGCATGAGGGAGGAGATCGCGGTGTGGACCAACCTCACTGAGCCGCGAGTCCGGGTGAGCGTGGGGCGCGTGCAGGGCGACCCTACCCGCGCGACAGCTCTGGCACTGGCCCTCAGTAGCTCAGACTTAACTCTGACCTCGCAGACCTCCCCCTCTCTCATCGGAGACCCCAGCCACCCGCTAGGCCCCTAGGCTGCTTCTTTCTGAGCCCTTTACCTAACTCGCAAGAGCTGCTGTCCCTACCCCAGAGAACTGTGTCAGGTCCCGGAGTTACTCAGGGTCTGAGACCGGGCACAGGATTCTCTGCCGCTTAGGACCTCGGGAGCTTTGAGCCTTTGCCCCCTGGAAAACGAAAGGGAAAGGCAGGGCGCGCCTGATTGCCCTCAAAAGGCCTCAAAGGTGCTTGGGTAAGGGGGGGGGGGTTCTCGAGCTTCCTGGGGTTGTGTTCTCATTCTGAGTTTACCTCCTTCGGACTGTTTTTGGAACATTTTCCAACCAGTCATCCAGGCACGAGCTGGGCCTTTGCCTGATGCCCTTTCCCACTGTAGGTCTGGGGTCATGTGGGGTGGGACTCTGGTGGCTAGTGGCTCTCCTACTTACTACCCCTTTCCATTTGTAAGGTCCCAGACCCAAGGCTACACTATAGTCTGGCACCTCCCACGGTTCTCCACAAATGTCAGAGGTTCTTAAAAGAGAAGTAAGGGAATCGTTCCTTCCCTGGGTGGCAAATATTTAATCAGACCCTGGAAGCACTTCTCAAGCCAGTCCAAAGTCCCACATGGCCCACGGAACCATAAGCCCTGCCTTCAGCCCTCCCCAGTGGGACCCTGGATGCAGACTGGGCACCCTGTAATTCCGAGCTCACTAATCCTGCCCAGGTTTATGGCAGTAGAGGCGGGGTGGGGTTAGGTAGATGGAAACAGGGCCTGGGAAAAGCTGGGGTGTAGAGGTTCTGGGCTGGAAGAAGAGCTAGGAGGTGAGAGGTGAGGGTAGGGAGGACATGGCCAGGCAGAGGAAAATACTTCCTACCAAATTTCGTAGGAGAAAATGGAGGAGGAGATTAGAGAGAAACTAGTAAACTTACAGAAATTAAATATTTGCAGAGAAACGTATTTGGAATATATATAGGCAACAGGAAAGAAATTAAATATTTAAGGGAGAAGCAAAGAGTTTGAGCATTTAGGAAAAAAAAAGAATCAACTATTTAAGAAAAACAGTGGAGGCCAGATACCTGGAAAAAAGGATAAACTAAATATTTAGAAAAGAATAAAAATAAGGACAAGAAATAAAGAAATGAAGTTGTTTAGATAGTCAAGAAGTGAACAAAAATTTACATTTTGGGCAGGAGGAAAATTATTAAATACTGTAAATACAGATGACAACAAACTATTTGAACAATGAAACTCGATTTTCCAGACATTTTTGGGAAAGAAAAAATTTTTGTGTGTTTGAGGGAGAAAAAAAAAAGATTGACTTATTTGTATTTTTGGTTGCGAGACTAGCCTTTAACGGCTGAGCCATCTCTCCAGCCCAGGATTGATTTATTTATAAGAAAGATGGTGGCCCACTTGGAGGAAGATGGTAAGGGGACAGATTGAGAGAGGAAGAAGAAAAACGAATATTTGTTCAAACAAAAGAAAATCCGAGTTGGGAAACGAAAATCAATTTAACTGGGGGAAGATTATGTTTTAAGAAGCGGAAAAAAGAGGGGAGGGCTCTTATTTTCTGAAGACAGGAAAGAAACCATTACAGAAACCTCGGCTGGGGCAGAAGAAAAGAAGGGATGTTGGGAGGAGGCAGCGAAGGCTCAGGTCGGGGGTGAGGGCCTTCCAGGCCACCGCGGCCCTGACGCTTTTGCCGCTCGCTCGCTTCCCCAGGTCTGGTTCAAGAACCGGCGAGCCAAGTGGCGCAAGCGGGAGCGGAACCAGCAGTTGGACCTGTGCAAGGGCGGCTACGTGCCGCAGTTCAGCGGCCTGGTGCAGCCCTACGAGGACGTGTACGCCGCCGGCTACTCCTACAACAACTGGGCCGCCAAGAGCTTGGCACCGGCGCCGCTGTCCACCAAGAGCTTCACCTTCTTCAACTCCATGAGCCCGCTGTCCTCTCAGTCCATGTTCTCGGCCCCCAGCTCCATCTCTTCCATGACCATGCCGTCCAGCATGGGCCCGGGCGCTGTGCCCGGCATGCCCAACTCGGGCCTCAACAACATCAACAACCTCACCGGCTCCTCGCTCAACTCAGCCATGTCGCCGGGCGCCTGCCCCTACGGCACCCCTGCCTCGCCCTACAGCGTCTACCGGGACACGTGCAACTCGAGCCTGGCCAGCCTGCGGCTCAAGTCCAAGCAGCACTCGTCGTTTGGCTACGGCGGCCTGCAGGGCCCGGCCTCGGGCCTCAACGCTTGCCAGTACAACAGCTGACCGGCCCGCCGGGTCCCCGGGCCACCGGCCGGCAAGGCGCCGCCAGCGGGAGCGAGCGCGCGGAGCTTGCGGGGCGCTCGCGGCACCGCGGACCTCGCCTCTGCGCAGCCCCCTCCTCCCCACCCCGCCTCCAGGTTGGTTTTGTATTTGCTTTTCCGGACCCCACTCTGCCCCCAAAGAATAAAAAGGAAAGAAAGAAAGCCGAGGGAGGGGGGAGGGAAACACAAAGACGTCGGAGAAAAATGCCGGGTGGGGGGGTGAGTTGCAATTTCCCTAGCGGCGGCGCAGGTGGTATATTCGGCCCCACGGGTCCCAGCTGCCCACTCCACCGAGGGGACGCGGCCGGGGAAGCCAGCGCCGAGGCCGCAGGGAGAAGACGCCTGGTCGCCTGCGTCCGGGCTGGAGCGCCTGAGCCGGTGAACTGGACGTAGGGAGCCTGGAGAGCCTGGGATTGCCACCCGGTCCAGAAGCCAGGGGCTCTCTCCGAGTGTGGCCCGGCGGGCGGGCGGCAAGGATCGCTGCTGGAGCGTGCGCCTGGCTGGGGATGACCGCGTCTGCCCGGGATCCGGCACCCGCGCTGGAGTAGCCAAGGCCCCGGGGAGAGCCCAGCAGCCCTGCGCTGGGGGCCACAAGCTTCAGGCCGCAGAGCCGCAGCTGGCGGTGGCCAGTCGGCAGCTGGAGGGGAAGGGCTCAGCCCAAAGCTTAGCCGTCAGCCAGGCCCTCTGCTTCACTCTGGGTCCAGGAGGTGGCCCTGTGTCCCAGCCAACAGCCCCCTCCTCACTGTCGAGCCAGGAGAGCGCGGGGCCGAAGCCCCAGGGCCCCCGCCCACTTTGCACACCCGCTCTCCGGCCCGCGCCCGCCCGTTTACAGCGTCCCTGTGTATGTCGGACTGACTGTATAGAATTATAAATCTGTCTATATCGACTTGTCCATGTACGTCTATTAAAACAATAGTCCGAGCGTGCTAAGCGCCAATGAGCCCCGGCTGCTTCATTCACTGAAGAGGGGGGCCAACTGTACCACCCCGACACTGTGGGTAGGAGGGAAGATGGGGCAGTTCCCACAGGGGCTCCCCACCCCTGTTCCTGCGTTCCCTGGCCACTCAGCATGTCAGGCTTCCTAGCAGAGACCCCCTCTCCTTCCAAGGCAAGGGCTCTGCAAGGCCCCAAGCTGGGCCTGGGTGACCCTCGGACTCCCGGGGTTGTAAGACCCTTTGTCCTACATCATAGGGGTGCACAGAAAGCCTCTTTAGGGCTGGAGCTGTCTGCTCTCCCGAGACCCCTCCTCTCGTCCCCATGGAGTCCAGATCCAGGTGTTCTGGGAGGACTACTGCGGGAGCACCGGATGTTCCAGAGTCTAGCCAGATTCTGCCTCTGCCTGCTCTAATGCCCCATTACTTACTAGCTTCCACCCAGAGCATGAGACTCCGCGGAGAAAGTGTCCCTTACCCTGGGCTCACTTCTCACTTTGCTTCTATCTCGACTCGTGGAGGCTGCTGGCCGCCTCTGCCCCCCACCCCCGGCTTTTGGAAACTACTGAACAAGACCAGCCTGTAAACTGCCTGTAAAATTCTGCTTCCCTTAAGTAAGTCACTTCTAATGGCAAAACAAAATGTTTGCAGCTGCTGCGGGGGAGGGAGGGAGGAGGGGCCCCTGCTTCGCTTCGGTATCACCTTGTGGTGGAGATTGGCACTGCCCTGGAGCTGGACTCCGGCAAGCCCTGGCTGGGATGGGCAGAGCCACAGCATTAGTCACGGAGAGAGAGCAGTCTCAAACCAGGTCATCAGCAACCTTATGGTTGGCTCGAGCAGTCTGTAACTGGGCCAAGGTCACACTAAGCAAATAGGGCCTTGAGACTCCAAAGCCAGGCAGGCATCTTTTCCTCCGGTCCTCTCACCTGGAGATGAGGACAGGTCCGCCTCAGGCTGGGGCTTGCAGTATAGGCTTCTGCTATATAGCCAGGGCCAGATACACCAGCTGGGGGAGGATGGGGGACGGAAGTTTGGGGCAGGGGGCTGCAGCCCTACCACCCCTCCCCCAGCCCAGTTCCCTCTCTCTGGAAACATAAACAAAATCACGTCTGGATTCACAGAGAGCCTCCCCGGCCCCACACGCCTGCCATGCAGGGAAAAGCAGAAAGCCAGGCACAGGTGAGAGGGAGGAGCCACTGCAGGGCGGAGGGGACACTGCCCATGGGACCAGGGGCAGACAGCTGCAGATGGCGATGGGGAGAGGTGTCCTATAGACCCCTTCATCCTTTGAGCCCTGGCCACATAGGTGAGTACAGGGTTAGCAACACCACAGCTGTTCTAGCTGACACAAAGTAGCAGCTTCCCTACAGCAGTAACACACTGGGGCTCCGAAAGTCATACCCTCTTTTTAAAAAGTGGCTTGTTCTGTCTGAGGGACATTGAGGGGGGCATTCAACAATGACCGTGTCCTTCTTGTTGGTGCTAGAGACTGGGCAGTGGAGAAGAAGTGGCCCCTACTGTCCCAGACAAGTAAACACATGTACAGTGTAATTACAAAGCGTGTTCAAGAAACACCAGTGCTGTTCACAGGAAAATGTGAGTCCTGCCTTCAGCAGGCTGGTCAGGCAAGGCTGTTGGGGTGGGCAGGGCTCCTTGGCTATCCTTAACTAACATTTACTGAACCTGAGTAGGTCCAGTGCTCTCTGCTGTATACACATCACATTGTTGAAACCATTTGCCTGCACAGAGCCCCACCTCCCCGTAAGGAAGGAGGGTCCTCACCATGCCCTTTCCTTGATGAGGCCCTGCCCCGTGGAAAGACTGCCTCACACCGGGTCAATTCAAAGTCACTGCCTACCTTTTACCCCTTACACTGCGCTGTCCCTGCCATCCACCAAAAGCAACAACAAAGGGCGATATACAACTGGCCTCCTTCGAGCAACAGTTGAAGAGCTTTGCTCTTCCTCACAGAGTGAACACCAAACTTCCGCTATAGCTTGGAAAATCGGGGCAGGCGGGGAGGCTGAGACCAATAAGATTGCTGAGTGTCTGCAGCCCCTGGAGTGCCTGCTCAGGGAGCTGAAGAGCCTGCTCGCTGAGGGGAGGAGCCTGTTCACTAGGGGAGGAGCCAAGCTACCTCTCCAGCTTTATGCTGCACCTTAGACAGCAGTGTCCCTTGGGATGACAGGTTTTTGAGCCTGGCCACCAGAGTTGCCTGGATGGGTAGAGGAGCCACAGCTGAAGAGATGTACCAGATGAGTCATTCAGGAGTTCAGGCCCTGAAGGAGGCCCTGGGCTGTCCTTGTCCCTGTCCTCGTCCCAGACGACAAGTGGGGAACAGGAGTTGATGCCCCTAGCCTTCTGCATTTGGAGGACGGTTATCGGCCCCAGCATCCACAGGAACTTGTACGTTTGTCTTTGAAATTAAGAATGTAGGTTCTGGCGCCACATCTGAGGTGCCTTGGGGAAGACATTAACTCCCTGAGCCTCTCTTGCCTCTTCCATAAAAGGAAAAATCACTGTCCCCTGTTGTTTACAGAACTCCTAGAGATAATACACACCGGGTCCCGGTGATGGCGCTGCTGCCATATACAACACATGCAATAAATGGGCATTATTGATGAGGTCAGCTAGTGTGGTTATCAGTTAATATCAGACCTAACAGTCCAGAAGCCGCTGCCTGGCCACACTATCTCCTTTGGCACGAAGCACAGCTTTTCTGCCAGAGTTCCTTCCTGAACGGGATGTGGGTTTATTTGTTTTTTTGGGGGAAGGGGTGTTGTTTTGCTTCGCTTTTATTTGTGGAAGGATGGCTGCCTTATTTTGGGGAAAGGGGCCCACACAGCCTAGGCTGGCCTTAAACATAACATGCTGAGGATAACTTTGAACCTCTGCTCCTTCTGTCTCCTGAGCACTGGGATTACAGCCGTGAGCTGCCATGCCTGGTTCATGACATGCTAGGGACCAATCCTAGGGCTTCGTGCATTCCAAGCAAGCATTCTACCAACCAAGCCACATCCCCACTCTGTATTAAGTTTTTCTTTCTCTTTTTATTTTATTTTCATTCCATGTGCACTGGCATTTTGCCTGCATGTGTGTCTATGAGGGTGTCGGGTCCCTTGGAACTGGAGTTACAGGTGAGCTGCCATGCGGGTGCTGGGTCCTCTGGAAGAGCAAACAGTGCTCTTAACCACGGAGCCATCTCTCCACCCCCTAAATGTTTTTTACAGGGTTCCCCGGGGTCACTGGATATCATGTGTCATCACAGATAATCTCGTTGACCATGTGCCCCCCTTCTCCCCTCCCCAGAAGCCCTCCTAGTCTTAGACCCTAGGTAACCCAAACCTAGGCCTGGGGTTCCAGCTTCCCCAACACCTTCCACAGGCCTAATCCTGGTCCTGAGATACCCAGAGGAATTGCATCCAATCCTTGCCATCCACTAATCTGGGGAGACAAGGGCACAGAAAGTCTCCTTGGGGAGCTCAAAGCAGCCTGGGTTGACATTTCCTAAATATTCTGTTGGTGAATCACCTCACGCACTCACTATCTGACTATCAAGCCTCATTGCAGACATGTTACGAGAATCACAACACCCGCCATCCTTATTTTCCACCAGAAGAATCAGAGGGAATCAGTAACTTCCCCAAGACAGGCCAAAGAATAAGGGGTAGAGTCAGACTTGAACGGAGGTCCCTTGGTCAGGTTCTGCCCGTCCATACTGTGCTCTGCGCTGCCATGATGTGACCGGCGTTTGTGCTCAGGTGGGAAAAGAAATTAAAATGTGAACTTACTTCAAGAGGTTCTATTCAGCTGGGCTCCGGGACAAAAAGAAAAGGCCCTGAGCCTGGGGTTTGCTCTCAAGCACAGGGCTATGCCAGAATAGTGCACAGCATAAGCACTGGAAGCCAGAGAACGCAGGACCCTGGAATACCAGCCCTAAAACTAACCCCCCCGTCAGTCTTGCAGCCTTCTTAAACAGGGCTCTGCCCCACAGAAGCCCTCCCATGCCCCAACCCCTTGCAGAACTATCCCCAGTCCCCTTCACCCAACCTCCAAGCCTCCCACTTTTGTGCTGTCTTGCAAGATCCTAGATTTTGTCTACCTGGTGATGACACAGAATGGTTGCAAAGCCATGGGAGGACCCTCCAGTTCTGCAGGTGAAGGTAGAGGCGGGGTGGCCTTCAGGGGGGACAGAGGCATGACCTGTGCTGCTCCCTCCCTCCCCCACTCCATGCACTTAACACTCCTCTGTGTGGGGGGGGCGAGGGGCTCTCTAGGTGCACACATTACAGCAGGACTCAAATATTCAGCTGGCTGACTACAGAGGGTCTGGCCTAAATTGTTCTCATCACTGACTCCTACAGACTGGCACTGGCAGCTGGGTAAGTCACTGGCAGTCCCAGAGAACAGCATAGGGACTTGAGTCACCCGGGCACAAACAGCAGCATGGAAGAGAAGTGTCCTTACTCACAGTAAGTGATCAATAGGTAATGCTGTATATGAAAAAAAAATGAGGGGCTAAAGCCGGGCAGTGGTGGTACACACATTCAACCCCGGCACCTAGGAGGCAGAGGCAGGTGGATCTCTGTGAGTTCAAAGCCAGCCTGGTCTACAGATCAAGTTTCAGGACAGCCAGAGCTACACAAAGAAACCCCATCTTTAAAATCAAAACATCCAGGGGCTGCCTTCACTTTTCCCCACACTCTACAACACATCTCACATTTCCTCCTCCTCCTCCTTCCCTCTTCCCCATTCATTCATTCATCACACACACTCACATACACACACACACACCACACACACACAGATACACACACACACACACACACACAGACACACACACACAGATACACACACACACCACACACAGACACACACACACAGATACACACACACAGACACACA